CCCAAAAAAACCCCCAACAAAATCAAATGACAAAATATATAGGTATTTGGAATTCATTTTACTACTAGCTGAAACCCGCAAAACATTTATGATGAAATTTTTATTGCAAAAGTATTTCTTTAAATACTGGATTTTTAGTTATCCTTTAACCGAATACTGTAATGGCAGTATGGCACAGCCCCTGACCTGCAGGGGACCCCAATGCTTCCCTCTGGTGATGGCAACCCCCCAAGAATCACCCACCATCTGGCATCCTACCTAGGTGGTCCCAAGGGATGCTGCCACAGTGGAGGGAAGGACTGAGGCCCCCTGCAGCTTACCAGTGGGGGGGGAGCCTCCAGTACTTCGTTCTAGCATTAACTTGCCTGCATATCTGTTTGAAATGCCTCAGGATCTATAATAATACCACACTTATTCTGTCTATCCAGAGCACTCTGATTTGTTTCAGTACGCATCATGATTGGCTGCTGAGACAACCAATCAGAGTGCTACAGACAATAAGCCTGTTGTTATTATATTTAATGATTGAGGCACAGCTAGGCTTCCAGGTTGCTTTGAAATTGTAAATATATTTAAAGAATGTGTTCAACTGATACCTTATATATAATGAGTGGCATTTCATTTTAATTGTGCAAAAATGTGGGTTTTGGGGTCTTTTTTTAATCGGAAAATTTGGAATTTTTAAAGAGACAAGCAGGATCCCTGGTCATAACATAACTCTGATAAACTGCAGAGTTATTCAGGGTGACTATTACTGTTGTTTTATCTAATGAATAAAAGTAAAAAATCTAGTAAAAAAAAACAAGCTTGCAGATATGATACATTTCTAGTTGGTGTGTAATTTTTTAAACCATATCCAGGCAACAGACTGCTTGTGAGCAGTCATAAAAATATAGTTTTCAGCCAGAAGAGTGTTTCTTCCTTTCATCTTGGGGAAAGAATGTTCCAGGGCACTTCTTAAATCTGATATCCTGAATACAGCTGAAAGCATTTTTCTGTTCATTTTGTGCTTACCTGTTGCATAACAACATGCTTTCATTCTTTTGTCAGTATTGCTACAGATTTGCTTAACTTCAAGTATGCAAGAATCTAATAATTGTAAACTTCTTCCTAATTTTTTATTTATTGCTACCATTGTTTCTAATCCCAGAAAACAAATCACATATATTAATATTTTCCAGGAAAAGAGGAAACTATTACATATGATGAATGGAACAGAAAAATTCAGGGACACTTTGAAAAGCTGTTCTTTGTCTCAGAGAACCCATCAGACCCCAATGAGAAATATCCAAATCTTGTTCATAAGCGTGGCATATATAAGGACAGCTATGGAGCTTCTAGTCCTTGGTGTGATTATCAACTCAGGCCAAATTTTACAATAGCAATGGTAGTGGTAAGTAAAAATGCTTCTTCAGATTTACTGCTCCTTTTTTTCCTACTTTAATTGTATTGAACCAGACTTGCATCATGATCCATTCATGTGGGGCTCACCATAGAGAATTGTGACTTAGAATTTATTTGATAGAGTAGTGGATTTGTCTTTAAGATTGAATTTCAAATCACCCTTCAAGATATAGTCTCTCGTAAGACTTGCTTAATTATGTTTAGTTTTGCTGCTCATTATATCATTAGAATAAATGCAAAAACCTTTCTGTATTGGAAAAAGTGTTTGGGTGGGGTTATGAATTTTTTTTTTTAAATCTCTTATTTCTTTATGGATTTTGTAAGGAGTCCTGATGGTATATTTGATGCTGAATACACAGAAAACTTTGGCTTTAGTTTTTCTGTAGATAATGAAAACAGTAATATAAAGCATTAGTACTGTGTTACCCAATAAGAAAACAATGTATTTCAAACATTTTGTGTGCATTTTTCTTTTTAAATGAAAAAGGAATTGATTAAATTTTGATTTATGCTATCAGGCTCCTGAAATGTTCACTCCTGAGAGAGCTTGGAAGGCTCTGGAGGTAGCAGAAAAAAAACTGCTTGGTCCCCTGGGCATGAAAACTTTAGACCCAGAGTAAGTATATTACAGATTAAAACTGTATGTGCTGTACATTCTAGTGCAGTGATTTTTTTCAGCTACAGTGCCACATCACTCTGGGGTGCCTTAAGATTCTTTCAAGGGTGCTGCATGGTGTCACGTAATATTAACACTGTTAGGTATGTAAACATGATTCACAAGATAATCCATATTGTTAAAAACATCCTGAACTGTTGTGGCATTTCTGAGCTGTTTGCAAAAGAAATTATTCTATCATTTTTCCATAGCCAGAAAACCAAGAGAACACTAAGAGTGGATATTTATCAAGGGGTATCTTAAGTCTGATGAGAGGTGCCTTGAGTTTAAAAAGGTTGAGAACCACTGTCCTAATTGTATAACCAGATTCCCTCACAATAAGAACATCTTTGATACATGGGGAAGATCTGTTTATAAAGAAATTCTTACGTCTAATTATTTTGTGTAATTAGCTGGCAGATTCAATAAATTCACCCAGGCAAAATTAAAATCAGTTCAGTTTGATTTAAATTCATTTAGAAAGGCACCATTTCATTTTGATTTCCTGACATATTCCATTTTATTCACTATTTTTTTTCCCCCATTAGAAATAAATCTGTCATAGAAGTTTTTCAAAAATCCAGATAAAACTGTATAAAATGTGAGTTTGAATAAAAAGATGCAGACAATTTTGAGTACAAGTTACACCAGGACCACTTTCAGTTCATAGCTACAGTATCTGTTATTGAGGCTCTGCAGTCCATATATTGATACAATAAGTCTCTTGTAATCTAACCATTGACAAATGTTGTGTAAAGTCAGAGGCATACATTCATTTGTAGTACTACAAAGATAGCTGTGGGAGTCCACATGTGCAGTGCCCTCAGGCAAGAGTGCTGCAGCGTTGCTGTAAGTCATTCAGTGACATGTTCCTTTGCTCCACCCACCCCAGGGGAGCCTTTCAGCAAACCTGACGCTGGGAGCCTGCCCTATCTCCAGCTGGCAGAGGGGAATGGTGGGATGGGGTTGATAGCTGTCGCTCCAGGAAGGGCAGAGGACAGGCTGCCTTTCACAGCTGCTGCTCGAGGACCTGGACCAGACTGAGAACAGCAGTCATCAGACCCGTTCCTCCACTCCCACTGTCTGTAGGCCAAAGCATCCTTCAGCTGTTCCAGCTGCCCCACAGTGCAAAACCAGACCCAGCAGCTGTCTGTGAGGCAAGGGTGTGCCTCAGCTGACCTAGCCATGCAGAGCCAGCCCCAACAGTTGTCCCAGCCATCCTCACTAGCAGGCACAGCTCTAACATCTGGTGCTGCCTTCACTGCATGCAGGAGGCATCAGCTATTCAAGTTGCTCCTGTGAAGACACCAGCAACTCTGTGACTACAGCTGCAGGGATGAGAGCTATCCTGTTTGAAATAGAAACTTTTTTGTAGTGGATCCACCAACATGGGTGTCTGGACATTCACTTTCTGTAATGCTATCATGGTGTATATAGTACTACAAATGTAGTGTGTCCAAAGCCTAAGTAACACTTGTTTCTCTGAACATGTTTCTGGTCTTTTCTACACACTCTTGAGTATAAGTTATCCCCTCTTAAACTCATATTTTGAATTATTTTCTAATTTTTTTTTCTAATTTTTTACAGCGATATGGTTTACTGTGGAATATATGATAATGCCCTAGACAATGACAACTATAATGTTGCTAGAGGTTTTAATTACCACCAAGGACCTGTAAGATATATACATTTCCTAAATTTCACATTAAATATTTCTGATATCTCAAACTGGCAGCAATTTGATATAACCTCTTTATAACTTTGTTTAGGAATGGCTTTGGCCCATTGGATATTTCCTTCGTGCAAAGCTATACTTTTCGAAGTTAATTGGTCCAGAGATGTATGCAAAAACTGTATTTCTGGTAAAGAATGTTCTCTCACGCCACTATGTTCATCTTGAGAGGTAAGTTTTCACATATGTACAACATGTTAGGGTAGACTAGTAGTCCTAGACCCAAAGTGCAGTTGTATGTGAAAGATGCACATGGATTTCCTCTGCCAAATGTTTTCATTGAAGAGCTATAGAATAAGCAACAGAGATCTGGTGTTTTCTGTGTAACGTTCACCATCGTGCAGAGCACTGTAAAATGCTTCTTTATTACTTCCAACAAGCCTTTAGGAATGGACTACATATTACTGCTTTTTTGAAGAGCTAAATATTGAAAGTTTGGCTTTATCCAGAATGAGAATGAGCAGTTTTTTAAATTGTTACATATAAGAGTAAATAAAAAAGAGGAAGAAAATGTGTGCAAAACTGCACAGCTAAGCTACTAGAGCTGTCTTACAAAAATTGGATTCAGAGAAAAACAAATGTATAACTTGAAAAATGTCAGCATGTTCAAAAGTGTGAAAATGGAAGCAGTTTGAAAACTGATAATGGGTAAAATAATGTAAGCAGATAACATTTAAAGTATACAGAACAGGATTACAGTTTCTGAGCTAGTTTTGTTAGGTCTTCTGAATGTGCAAATAAATCATAGCTACAGAACGATGTCAAAATCTTTATAATCTCAATATACTTTTCTTAAGAAAATCTGAGGCATTTGCTCTTCTACAGCAAATATGGCCTTTTTTTAAAAGCTCCTATGCATTTTTTCCTCCATGTGCTTATTCTCCACTGTAACTGATTATTCCTCTCTCCATCCCATCCAAAGGCATTTCTAGATGAACAGAGACCCTCAGACTTACACACCTTTCAAATAGTCTGCTCCACAAATGTATCTTAGACTCCAGTACTGCAGGCACATATACTTATTTTTACACATCAGTATCCCAGTTAATTTCAGGTGGACAGCTCATGACAAATTTCTTTGCACAATCAGGAAGATAGTAGTCTTTTTTTCTCCTTCTAGTAAAGAGAGGGAAAGGAGTTTTCAACTCATCTGTCCAGCCATCATCTCCACCCCAAAGATGCAATGACTAGCCAAAAGATAGAACTAAAGTACTGAAACATGTGGCACTTGGAACTGTATGATAGATAAACTTGTTGTTCTGTTTTTCCTGTATTGTCCTTGGAGTCTAATGGTAGTGATCAGCATTTCCCTTGTAGTGCAGCGTAGTTTCTCAAGTTCATTATTCTTCTGGAAAAAGAAAGTGAAAAACTTACCGTTTTAAAATAGCACTGTGTTCTCCTTAAAATAGAAATGTTATAACAACTTGAAATACAGGTTTATAAGTAATACGAATAAAAGCAGCATTCAAGCCAAAAACCTGTATGCATATGGAATTACACAGCCAGCATCATTTTCTAATTTTCCTTATTTTTGAAAACAACAAACTTTATAGGTATGCAAAAGAACCTGTACTTCAGTTGTTACAGGCTTTTCAGACTTAGATCGATCAGTGTTACCGTGATATATGCACATTCTAGTACCGACATTGTCATTTATTAATGCTGTCTTTATTTTTATCTTGCTTCTTAATACTTTTGTAACATTTGTTACGTTTGGTATTTCTTTTTTGTGCAAATATATTTATACAGCGGTTAGCTCCTCATATGATTTTAGTTGCTTGTTTGTATGACTATATTCTAAAAAGTTTTACAAGAGACCATTTCTATTACTTTCTGTGACATAAGGCAGCACTAATTTTTTTTTTTTTGTTAATGCTTTTATATTAGATCATCTTGGAAGGGACTTCCAGAGCTGACCAATGAAAATGGGCAGTATTGTCCTTTCAGCTGTGAATCACAGGCCTGGTCAATTGCTGTTATCCTCGAGGTTCTTTATGACTTGTAAATGTTACCGTTTGATTGCCTGGTTAAATTTTGCTATCTCCTTGTTATAAAGCATAGTTGGATAATTTGCTCATAGTGTAATGAAAATGTCCTGTTTTGCACAGTCCCTTTAAACAACTGTGACCTAATTTTCAAACATACTGAGAACCTACAGCTCTCATCTACCTTACAGTTTTTGTGGGTGCTCAGTCCATTTGAAAATTAAGCTATTAGGATTTTAAATTGTGTACATAACTGCAGTGCTTCTTTAGTACAGAAACATTTAGAAAGCAATGACTTCGAGAAGGTGCACAAGGACATTTTAAAATGGTGCCTGACTTGTAGATATTTGGAATTTTAAAATGTATTGTGGATAGCCAGCTGTTAAAAAAGCATGTGAAATAATTTAGACATATTTTAATTTAAAATCAAATAGTTCCAAGGTCTGAGTCTAAATTCACAAGGTTCTTTTTTTTTCCATGTCCTCCATTAAAGTAAATGGTTGGCGTGCACACTTTACTGGGGAGAAAAGATTAGACTTTGGCTTTTCTTAGTTTCATGTGATTTATGCTGCAGTGGTATATTTTAAAGATGAAAGTGTGATTTTTATTTTTTTTATGTCTGCTGAAAAGTGTGTTCTATGCGTGTTTTATGTAGCTACTTCTCAGTGTTCAGTTGAACACCCCATCGAATGACAATGAAAATAAAGTTTACAAATAATATAAGAAACTGCTTTTATGGAGGGGTATATAAAATATTCAGTAACATTTAAACTTGAGGGCTCTAACTCTGAGCAATGACATGGGTATAATTCTGTGCAAGTACCCTTCATAGATTACTTTCATGTTCTGGACCACAAGCCAAATTTGTATTTTAATTTGGTTTAAAATACACATCTCTTGGTGCATTGTGTTTTTACCAATACGAGGAAACCAGAAGAAACAGATCACAGAACAATGCACAGGACATGCCTCAGGTGAGGTCAGAGGTCCAGAAGTCTACAAGCTTGGTTGCTGACTGTATAATTAGTTGGAAAGAGTGACGCATTCAATTCTGCCCTTGCCTCTAGTGAAATCCTGCTTCCACTGAGGCGAATAGAAAAATGCTCTTTCAGTGGGGTGATGGTTTAACCCTAGAAATATAAGACAACGGGTTTTCAAAACCTCTTATGCCAGTAAAAGTGAGGATACTGAGGACCACCTGTCATTCTTATGCAACCTGATTATTTGGGGAAGTCATTTGTTCTGTAGTGGAGATGTACAGCTTCTACCCAGCATTTTCAGATTTGAGCAATGGACTGCATTTGGAATTCTAAGTCTGTATCCATTTGGATTTTCTGCTATTACCCAAAGTAATGAATGAACAAAACCCAAACTATATAACCTGTAATAACATGCATAGAATCACAGCAGGAAATAAAGAGCTGCATAGTTTGAAGAAATGTATTGGCAACGTGAATTGAAAACGCAGACCTGGACTACTTCTTAGTTTGCTATTGTTACATCTGGCATGTCGTATTAGATCGATAGTTTAAAATTTTCCCAGGCTCTTTTAAAATGTGGCATTCGCACCTACTTAATCCCTGAGTATGTACCATTTTTACTTAAATCCAAAATGACACTGAATTTAAGATAACCCTCCCCAATAATTAGATTCTGCACATGGATAATCTGTTTATTTGTTAACATTTTTCATGTAAAAATCTAACTATTGGAAAGTCGTCATCAATTCATATGCCACAGTTGTGGGCAAGGCAGGAGAGGGTGGGAAGCAGTAGGCAAAGGAATGACAGGGGTAGACTCCCCACACTTTTTGCTCTCCCCCACCACACCTGTCTTGCCTGCCACTTGCCTCATCCCAGTGCCTGCCCATGCTCAGCCACTTACCTCACCACTTCATGCCTTCTACCCCCTGTGCTACTTAGCCTATGCAGGAGCTCTGGCCTGAAGCAGAAAGCACAGTGGCTTCAGCCCCAGCCAAGCAGCAGTGGCAGCTCTGACCCTGGGTCAGGGCTGGAGCTGAAACCAGAGCAGGAACTGCAGCAGCTCCCTTGCCACTGTGCAGTCTCTCCTGTGCTCCCCCACTTCACCTCCCCCTGCAGTGCTCTGCCCCCTTGTGCTATCAACCCCATATTTTCCTCTCCCCTCTCCCCCCCTGCACTGTAAGGTCTATCCCAAGTTGGAGCTGGAGCCACAGCAGCCACCTGCCCTGGCCGTGCTCAAGTCTAAGATGACGTTTCTTTCTCCTACCATTTCCCCTCACCCCATGCTTTCCTGTATAATGTGTAGCTGAATAAACTTGTAGAAGTAACTTTAGTAATTAGATATAGGTCACTTATGAAAGTGTACTATTACAATTTTATATTTTGTCTCTTATTCCAAAAGTTTCAAATCATGGAAAGTAATAGTTAAAATAAAATTTCTCTTTTCCTTTTGGGCTTGTTTTGTAAGCTTTTGAAATAAATCCTCTGGGATTTTGACTTCATCTAATTTGACACATTATGTGAAAAATTAAACAAATAAAGGTAGAAGTGATTCACTATTCTAAAATATACAGAATTAGATAGTAAGACTTTTGACAAACTTTATTTGAAAAATCAACAGCCGCCCAGTAAAAGAAAATGTATACCATTTCAAATTAGCTTACTATGTTTATATCTTTTTTTGTACATTTAAAAACTAATAGTGTCTGAACATCCCCAAATGTTGATTATACATGAAAGATGTAAGAAATTCTATTAATAGTTTTGACTCTTGTTGTAGTCCCATAACACTGTAAGTTCATTTCTAATTTACCATTGAAGGTACATTTAATTATTACTGTGGTTTAGAAATAAGGAATATTATAATGCATGTCATGTTTTTTATATTTTTCATTTAAAGTATTTTGAAATTTGAAAGTTTGAACTATGTTTGTATTAAGTAATTTGCACAGAATAAGGAGTTGTATACATTGCAATAATAGTCTTTAATATAGGAAGTAATCTGAGAGAGATTATTGTGCTCTAAAACTTTCCCATTCTATTTTAATTGACAAAAGTTGTGTGAACTGTACGGTTGACTAATAAAGTGCACGCTTTTCATTGCTAGTTTATTTTTTAAAGCTTAAAATATTTAAAAATAGAAGTTACCTCTCTACACAGATATGTGCATATATAATAATTATGAATTCTGAAAACTGATGCATGTTTAATGTATTGCTTCTGCACTGATTTTAACTGAAGGCAGCTCTAGTAACAGATGGACATTAAGGCTGCTTGCAGATGTGGAAAAAACCCCAAAACAACGCACTTTACTTGAAACTCAACACACTCCTGTGCTGAGCCTAGTGCATCCCCCAGAAGAGGCAGCACCTTAGATCAACCTGGCTCTGCAGCATGTGTATAGATCGGGCACTTTAGTGGGAATTTTGTAGCACTTTTATCTAACAGCTGATTGTGTTAGCGATTAGATAAGTGCCAAAAAGCCCTGCTGAAGCACCCAATCAATACAGATGCTGCTGAGCCAGACTGAAGTAATGTGCTGTTGCTTCCCGTAAAGCACTTTCCTTCCCGCCTGCCTTGCCCCCCACCCAAGACTGCAAGCAGCCTGAGTCAAACAGGCAAATATTTTGATGTCATGCTTTGGATTAGCCTAGGGAATCAAGAAAACTAAGATTTGAAGTTCCAGCTTCTTCCTTCTTGCTTTCATCTCACATATTGTCACTATTTTTAGTCTAGCCAGATCACCTAAGAATGAAGGGAGGAAGTCACTGTTACTGTTTTTCATCTTTTCCTCTATACCTCTCCAGTGGATTTACAATGGCTGTTATATAACTTGCAATTAATATGGATGATGGAAGAGGAAGGGAAAAGCTGGTGAGGTTGGGCTTTGTCCAAAGTAAGCTGTGTATAACCAAGTTATACTCCCTTAGGAATACTTGGTTGTAACTTTGAAATGTTATTTCAGACTGCAGTCACACTATTGTATGATATACTCTAAAACCAACAATTACATAAACTTACGGTCATCGGAATACCTACTTTTGTAGGTAAACTGAATGGGAACATTGGATCTCTGTCATGAACCACTCCATGTTCTCTGGTCCATAAACTATGGAGAAAAGACCTGTTTCTTATTTTTCAATTTAAGGTTATGTTCATTATTTATTATTTCTGTTTTTATTCAGCTCTTGCCTTAACCATTTTGCTAACTCAAGGAAAATATGCAAGAAGGGAATCATTCTGTCACTGCTTATAATATAAAAACTGTAGGTTGCAGTCTTGTGTGTGTCTGTCTATTGTAGCAACTACTGACTTAAAAAAATACCATTCTTCATCTGTCTGTGAGCTGCACAAAATAAACATTTAACCAAGTTGTGTGCATTTTTTTTGTAGTTCATCAACACATAGTCAGTCTTAAATATTAGACTAGGATATTGCAAAGTAAGCTCAGATGTCTGTTTATCGTACACCAGTATCTCTCCATGTGGATACTTAGCATGCAGTAAATTTCAGGTAGCTTACTTCACTTGTAAAAAGTGGAAACTTTTGAAATCTTTACATGACTAGTATTTAGCTCTACTTCATGTCTGGAACATTTTCCATTTACCAGCAGGAAGGATTCACTGGACCATAAGGGGAAAAGTCTTGTGAGGAGGAAATAAAAATAGAAGGGCAGCTTTGCTCTATCTTGCCTGTATCCACAATGCACATAGAAATTGTGTGGGTACAGGAGGAAGATAGAATTATTTGCTTCTCCCTTTTACCATTGCTTCACTATTTGGGGAAGAGGGGACAAGAAGAGAAAATGCCTTTTATGGTCCTCCCCTGGCCAGAAATTCTGCTGCAGTTGGTAGTCCAACCTCCCTACCCTCAAAAAGGCGCGTCCCCATGAGTGGGAACATGCATTTCCCCAGGGACAAACAGCAACGGTACAATATGTCTGGTGCTGCTTATCCCCAGGGAATGCCCGGGCATGTGTGCTCTAGCGTGAGACGCATTGCCCCAGGTAGGGTAGGGGAGCCTGGAGCCAGCAGCCTTACTTAGGGCTCTAGGGGCCTCCAGGGGCTGCAGCTGCAGTGATCCTGCATCAGGGAATCTGGCCGGTAGCTGGAGCATGGCTTCAGTTTTGAGTAGTGCCTGCTATCGCTATGTGCACCACCCTGCTTTTTTTAGGGGGGGGGGGGGGGGGGGGG